CTGCTACCCTGACCACGCGGGTAGTTACGCTCAAAGACCTCAGCAAGAGGCTGAGACACCTTCCCTGGACCAGATGCCTTGAGACTGGCACCCTACCAAGGAAGTGCTTATTCATACCCTGCTACAGCCACCTGGGCCTGAGTTCTGCAAGTGCCTGACACTCACAAGGGCAGGTGCTGGGTGTCTGTTAGTGGCACTTTGCGCTCATGGAAATTTCCTCTTTTAAAGAAACTGGTTCTGGGGTGTTGCTGTCCTAGAGATAAGGGAAACACAGACTGTGTGAACACTGGGATATGCCCCTTCTAGGGTGATGCTAAGGATGGAATTCAGATGTGATAATGCACAGCTTGGATGCCTTGAGCCTTGCTCTCTTCTTTGACATGATACAAAGATATAAATCCCCTGTATGTGATGATGCACAGGAAGGATCACCGGTAGGCTAGACCAGAGGTGCTTGTTGTGCAATCTGCTTACTCCTTGCCTTTCCATGTTAGCTCCTGTCCTCGTTCTTGTTGAATATATCAATGCTGTTGTCTTCCTGCTTACCTTATTCCCTCCTTCCTTGGTCAGGTGGCTCTGATGTACTGCTCAGTCATCATTATTTATTGCTTTATTTGTCTTTTGTATCTTGTATCTTCTGCTGCGGCTATCCCACCTGAGACTACACAAAAGCTTTGATTCTTCTGAAAGCGTGGCACACAACCCTCCTGTGAAAATCAGCTTCATGCAATGTGCTGTAAGTTTGATGTTTACAGATGGAACCACTGCAAATGTGAAATGTAGGCAGAAGGCTTTGATCTAATGCAGAAGAAAGCACTGGCCTTGGCAAGGATGCAAAACTCTACAACCAGGACTCCTCACTCTACATTCTTGCTTGTGCAGAACAACTACAATCCATTAAAGAAGCTCATATAACCTTACACTGCATCAGACAAAATGTTTCTAGTGGAGAGGGGACTCTGCTTCTGTAGTAGAAGGACGTGAAACACCTCTGTTACCACAGGTTGGATAGTATGGACAGTTCTAGTCCCTTCTGTGCAAGAAAGATGAATAGAAACATGCTCAGATGCACAGACAGAAGAGTAGGTTTATTAAGGGAAAAGAAAACCTGTCTTGGAGGCAGCTGGTTTAGCAAAGCAGAGATAGAATGGAGATACTGCTGTTTGTATCAACTTATCACTCAGGTAACTTGAGCTCTTTCAGCAAAACAGAGGTTT